TTAGAGTTGGGGAGTTCTTGATGGGTTTGTTTGAATGTGGGTTGGTGTTTCCTTGTTCTTTTGATTTGGTTTTATTATTGCGTAAATGGGTATGTCTTTTTGTGTTCGTTTCAAATTCTGGCAGATTCAGCTGCCTGATTGGTTGATGATTTTTTTTTTTTTTTTTGTGTTTTTGGATTTGTTTTGGATCTGGTTTGAATTTCCTGCTTTGTTTCTGAGATGCTCATCTTGGGATAATTGTCTCTTTCTTGGAAGATAGTTAATGCATTTGGGTTTATAATTTGCTTCACAATTGGCATCATCTGATTTGGTCATTTGGATTCAAATGTTTTGTTATATATCATGTTCCTCCACCTCCTGGGTTTGAGGGATATTCTGATCTTTGTGCCTTTTCCTTTTTCCACAGTGAGGAACTAATAAGAGTTTATAAAGCTTTAAGAAAAGAAGATGGGTTGTTTCACAGTCCTGAAAAGCAAGAAGAAAAAGTCTGAACCGATAGTTAATGTTAAAAAGATCAGTAATAAGGAGTGTAAGCCTACCACACTGCCTGAGCCTCAAGTTAAGACCCGCTCACTGCAGTCTGCACCCCCAAGTTTTAAGAACAGAGTGAAACCTATTCAAGGGAATAGCAAATCCACCAGTTCTCGAATGCGGGCATTATCTGCTCCATCAACTCTTGATGCGGCAGATCAGGATGCTCTTGCATCAGTTGAGTTTGAAGAACAGGAAGAATCTAGAAGCCGTGTTGGATTAATGAAGGAGCCACGGTCCTCCAGCCCACAACCGCTTCCACTTCCATCACCTCAAGGTCCTGCCTCACTGAAAAACGCAGGAAGCTTTAAAGCGGGGAACAATAGTGGGCCTCTATTTGCTTCTGGACCATTGCCACTGCCTCCTAGTGGAGCACTTAGGAACTTCTCGTATGAAGAAGTTGCAGCTGCTTGCCATAATTTCTCTTCAGATCGATACATATCAGAGGGTCTTTCTTCTATAATCTATGTGGCTTCCTTTGGAGATGATGCTTCAAGTTCAAAGAAGTTTGAAGCTACTGTTACTCGTCTTCACCCATCAACTCAGGTAACATATTCCCCTTCCCCAGAGAAGCAAGTACTAGGAGTATGATAACATCTCAAAACTTTCAATTCACAATTTGCATTTTTCTGTGTGGTTTAAATTATAATAAATTCTGGAAAATCATTGGGCAATAGATAGATGGGGAAGTTCAGCTTAGTTGACAGTTTTCATCTGTCTGAACTGACAGCTGCATTCTCTAAACATGCACATTTTCTTCTCTTGTATGCATCTATTCTACTAAGGTCCGAATAGAGCATGGTCTTTCTTTTAATTACAGTTGATTCAGTAATTTGAGACTGCTTTGGTCCTATTGCTTTACATTTAAATCCTATTTTAAATACCTGAATTTGTCAAAATAATGTTTTGTAACCTTTAAGTCTCTTTGTTCCACCAGGGACTAAAGGATTTTATAAGTGAGGTAAACACTGTTGCATCACTGCAACATCCAAACCTTTGTAAATTGCTTGGTTATCATGCACGTGATGGATCAGAACAGAGAATGTTGGTCTATGAAAGGCTTTTTCATGGGAGCTTGGATCGGCTTCTGTATGGGAGGTCAGATGGGCCACCTATTGATTGGAATACTCGAATGAAGATTACTTTATGTGCTGCACAAGGTCTTACTTTCTTGCATGAAGAAGGGCCTTTTCAGGTAATTAGGTTGCTTATTTACACTTATATTTAGAGATGATAAAGCATACAGAATGCCTATTGTTACCTATCATTATTCCAACTATTTTCCTCGCTTGCTAGCTGCCACAGTAGTTTTTGTTGGGTTTAAGTCACTTTTAAAAGTGTGCTTGATTTTGCCCTTCTATTATGCTAGTTATATATGTGTGTTGAAACTTTTGGTGAAGTTCTTTTATACAATTGCTCAATCATCTCTGTATGCAGGCTATGTACAACGAATTTACAACTGCCAACATTCAGATAGACAAGGATTTCAGTGCAAAACTTTCCGGATATGGTTGCGTTGGACAAATTCCTGAGACAGAAATCTCTACTAATTCAGTCGTAAGTGCCTTGACATAATAGACTGAAACTGAATGAGTTATTATATTTGTCTACTGCCTTAAAAATGATTTCCATGATGTTTTTGAGTTTTGAGAGCTGATTGCATTCTTGTTGATTTCTAGGCTGCAGCAAATCTTTCAGTAGAGACTTTGGAAAGAGGATTGCTGACTCCAAAAAGCAATGTCTGGAGTTTTGGAATTGTTCTACTTGAACTGCTTACTGGGCGAAGGAACCTTGACAGTCGTTATCCCAAGGAAGAGAGGAACTTGGTCAAGTGGAGTCGCCCCTTCCTAACCGATGACTGCAGATTGTCACTCATTATGGATCCTCAGCTGAAAGGTCGCTTCCCCATGAAAGCAGCCCGCACAGTGGCAGATATTGCTCAAAAATGTCTGCAAAAGGACTCATCAGAAAGGCCTACAATGAGAACTATTGTTGAGCATCTCAAAATCATTCAAGACATGAAGCATTCCTGTCGGTTTCCTCTGCAAGAGCCAGCAGTAATTGTTGGAAAACATATGTCAAGATCACCAAGTCTTAATGGTATCATTACCCCTGCACCCAAGTTAAACTTCTCACCATCGCCACCATCAGGAGCACGCCCATCTGTTTCTCCAACAAGGAGACAACATGCCTTGCCCATGGCACTGCCACCTCGTGCCTGTTCTTCCACCCTCACTTTGGACGAACTCGATAGGCAAGAAGACAGGGGATCATCATCATCAACTTTTAGAAGGCCTAGTGTTGAAGGTTTTTGATTGTTTATAGTGTGTATTTTTTCATTTTTTTCCTCCTTAAATTCAATACAAGATATAGAAGATAAAGATATGGTTGGCCTATCTTCTGATCCCCTTTATGAAATGGAGGGGATGTTGTTTTGTAGATAGAATTGGTGAAAATCAAGGCGTTCTGACATTTAAAATATTTAAAAAAATAATGAAAAAATTATAATTTCTTTAATGAATCAACATATGGAAACGATTCATTGAGGAATTGTGAATAATTTTATAATTAATTTTGATATTTAAAATGTCAGAACAACTTGATTTTCAAGTACCATATGATTGTTTAGTTCTCTTCTACTCAAACTATGAGAGTATATATAACTATATATTACTCAAACTTGATTTCTGTGCATAACCTATAATCTGTTCAGGCTGAGCACTGTTAATTTATAACAAATGATGGAACGCCAAGCTTTATGAGTGTTTTTTATTAGCACTTGGTCTTTGGGTCTAATGATAACTATCACGATTAAAGGTGCATCTCCCTCCTTTGGTGGGTTCGATTTGTCTCATGACAAATTGTTCAAAAAAAAAAAAAAGTGTTTTTTATTAGCCAAAAAAATTTCTTAAAGAGGTGCAAGACCGTAAGGGTACCTTAACCCATTATATCCTCTTACAAAAAATAAAAAAATAAAACCCATAACGTGAAAAATATGTCGAAACGCCCAGACAAAGACAAATAAACAGTCCTATATGGAGTACTGACAGCGAGGCTAGCCACATGTTGCAGCTTGAAAATGATGAGGGAAAATTCAGCTAAACCCCACTTTGACAATTCCACAAACACATGCTTGGCGTGTCACGATGAAATGGGCTCTAAATCTTCCGAACTTTGTTTTATCCGCCCGAAAAATTACACAAAAGCTTGCACCATTGAAAATTTTCAATTGTATCACTATAGCAATAAATTTAATTCAAAAGTGATCTTCTTTTTTATATTTTTTTGGTTGAACCTAATTCAAAAGTAATCAATCATCGTCATTATCAAACATAAAATCGTGACTATTATGCAGTATTGAAAGCCAAGCTGGTTCCAAGATTATTACATGGAGAGGGAGAAAAATGAAGTGTTGTGAAAAGTGGGTACTAAACGTACAAGACAAGTAAATTCGGAAATTTGAATTGTGAGGAATCAACAACAAACGTGGTAAAAGTGTAAGAGTAATTAGGTTTATGCTTCTTCATTGTTGTGTACGTATTTCTTCCTAACCTAAGGGTTGAATCTATTGGTAAGTTAATGTTGTAAGTCTTAAAATTAGTATTAAAAAAACTTATATTTCTAAAACACATCAAGACTAATGTAAGGAATAGTTAAGATAGACTATGAAGGAATTAATTTTGAAACGTGCAAAAATTGATTTGGAAACTAATTTTGAAATTTGTAAAAATTATTTAAAAACACCTTAATTTCGAAAAAAAAAAAAAAAAAAAAAAAAAACTAACTGCTTGTTCATAAATGAATAAATGAAAGAAATTGAGATCCTGAAAAGTAGTTCTAGGTTTGAATCCTGAATTTCCAGAGCAGCTATTGCAAATCTTATTTAAAGAGTATTAAATATTTATTTATAGGATTATTAAACACCCCAAAAATCACCCACTGAAATCACAAGATCTTTTCTTAATACTTTCAGCATGAAGTCCATGAACATACACCCTTATAAATAAAAAACAAAAAAACAAAAAAACAGATATTATGACATGAGATTTAATCAGGCGAATCTAAAAAAAATTAAACAAAAAAATACTTCAAAACTACATCATTTTAATAAAATACTATAAAAAAAATTAAAACATCTACATTCTTATTTTAAAAATAATTAAAATATTTTAATCTTTTTCAGTAAAATTTTACTAAAACGACGTAGTTTTGATGTATTTTTTTGCTTAATTTTTTTACAATACATACTTATATCTACTTTTCATATATATGTCAACTAAATATGCAAAACCAATAATATAAAACACATATACCCTGATCATTTATACAAAAAAAAGGAACTCCGGATTAAGGAAAGAGCAGAAAAATTAAGACCATGAAGCTCACGAAGGATCATTCTCGATTTGATCTGTTCCAGCTTCGCAGTTTCCTTCATCTGTATTCTCATGCTCTTCAGCTGCAGAAGGGAGGCACTGATCCTCCTGTTCGTCTTTCTCCTCGGTTGCTTGTGGTTGGGCATGGGATGCTGAAGTAGCTTGCTGGTCCGACACCAAGCTTGTGAGACCATTCTCCTTCATATATGTCTCCAGAGGAAGGGTGGCTACTCGAAGAAGACTCATCATGCTCACACGGGTTGATCCTACTTGGGAGTCTTCTTCACGAGCAGGATCACAATTTAAGTCTATGTGACCTTTGCCGGTTTCAGCCAATCTGTTGGGTAGGTTGTTGTTTTGGCTTATAGATTCTCGCTCATTACCTGACCTCCCTTCATTCTCAGATGGATCATGGTGGGACAATGCACGCTTTGGGCTGCTGTCTACTTCTGCCTCTTCTTTGGGAACAAACGATTGCTTATTCTTCTGAGCAATTTCTGCTTCATGCTCTGATTGGCGCTTCTTCTTTCGCATCATCAGGGTTTTAAAACGGCGTTTAACTGTCATGCAAACAGTGCACGTGCATGTAGGCTTGTGCTTTCCCTTTCCACTGGGTGGCTGGATGCACACAATGCATGAGCAACCAGGGCGATGCCTTGGGTGCCTGGTTGTAGTTGCCACCACAGTAGTACTTGGGTTATCCCCATTATCCCCGAGCACTGCAGCATTGGCCAAAGCATCGAGGCCAGAAGAGTCCTGCTCCTGGATTTGCTTACCGAATGCTGCAACTTTCCTTCCCTTGATATCTGCACAACGATTATACCTTAATAATTAGAAAGCATCAATGCTGAGAAGGTGAGCCACCAATACAAACATATATGCAGCATTAAGATAGGAATATGTATGTATGTTTTTTTCACATTCAGATATGGGTTTGAATTGATTATTTTATGTGACCTGGAGTTAAGAATAACTAGCCCTCAAAGCTATGCTGGCTGGGTAAAGACAGTTTAATCCAGGAATTGTTATGCACACCCCTAAGCATAGTGCAGAAAGCCACTTTCTATTTTTGTGCACATGTAAAGAAGATTTATTCATGGGCAAACCACTCAACTATTAAAAGTATTACAATGAAGAAAACTTCCATTAAATCTATGAAAGTCCTTTTTTTTTTTTTTTGGCCAAAAATATCTATGCAAGTCTGTGAGGGAAAAATGTGCAGGCAAGGTACCTTTATATTGTCTGAGAAGATTTTCTAGATCCCTTGGGTTCCGTTCATCTGGTGCAGAACATGAAGACCTGTTGACACAAAAGGAAATGTCAGTTTAAATCAGAACTTATTTCTTACAGGATATCAAACAGCTATTCCTAACCTGCTTTGATCCCACGTATTTTCTGTGCATGTCCACTTAGGTGGAAGACGAGCATCAACTGGCAACCTTCGCCATTTAGAGCAACTATCACACTGAGCCCATTGCTCTTGTACCCTGAAGATTAGATGGAAGTATTCAAGCAGGTGACTCTGAGGAATAGACTGATAATTGAAAGGAAAATATAATTGGCCGAATTCACTATTAGCATAAGTTCAAGTTATGTCAGATTATTTAGCAATAATGTAGTGACAGGCAAAGAAGGTGCCCTCAGAGATTATTAGCCTTTAGATAATTTTAACAAGTGAAAGATGGATTTTAACTTAACAGGAGGGTCATTTTGTTTAAGAAATTTAAGAGGCATTTCAAGATTCTAAACAGGCTGAAAATTCTTGAGCATGTAAATGTTCACATGTAACTTCTGTTTTCAGGAAAAAGGATTATGCTATTTTTTTGGACATCCTATGATACAAGATGGAGAGATTTGAATCTAGAACTCATGGTGGCTTTGACATGTCCTAAACCATTGGTACAAGACTTAATTGTTACATAAGAAAAAAAATTATGCTATTAAAAGTCTTAGTAGTTAATTTTGTAGGAAATTCACAGGAACACGCAATTACAACTCCTGACACTACTGCTGCTCTCAGTTCAATTTTAATTCATATTCCCTTTCCACGTTACTAGAATTGTTTACAACTATTATTTCCACAGGCAAGAAGTTGCAGAGCAGCTTGAAAATTGAAGGAATCCCTTTTCATTGCAAAAGAAAAGTATGATAAAGAAGATATTTGGCAAAAACATTTTCTGCAAAACATTTAATGAGAATCTGGATTAGAAATTACGTTGGACTCAGAAAACTAAATTCTGACAAGATCCTCAAACGACAAAGATCAGCAATTTTACCAAAATGTTTTGAAGAAATTGACAAGACATTTTTTTAATCATTTGAGTATCTTCGGAAATCAAAGCTTGTCACTTTGACAACAAAAGATTTGCCAGAGATGGTCACCACTGGTTTCATAAACAGTTTCTAGAAACTTTTTTCTTCATGGCAGAATAGTTCCCAAAGCCTATGCACAAGATAACTTAATCTTAACCAAGAGCTATTTATCAAATTCTCAGCACATATAACATTCAAACTAAAATGTAAAAATGAATGACTAAAAACCTCACCCAGTTGCTTGAGCCACAAAGATGCCCCTCTTCCCCAGAACTGGAGGTTCCTGTATAACAAGCATGAAAAAAATACTCTATTACCTTCGAAAACATTGTGATTCATTATTGAAATGTTGCTTTCTTCCAAGAGAAAGATGAGTTAATAAATACATGATCATCTTGGATTGTAAATACATAGTGGGAGAAAATCTAATTAGTGGACCACATAATGAGAAAAGGCTAAATTATTAGTTATTTACTAATAAAATTATATCTGCTACATATTATCTATTTTTCTACATGTCTTGTAAGTTAGAACTTCATAATTTTTTAGTACATCTAGTGCTCTTTTTAAATATGAATATATAATTAGATACATATATGAATTAGTATCCACTTCCACACCATTCTTACACACATTACCTACACAAAATCTTGATCATTCATCTCTTCACTATGAATGATTGAGATTTATCCACTTTTTATCCTATTTTTTAAAGATAATTGTCTATCTCAACCATTCATAGTGGAGAAATGAATGGTTAAGATTTTGTGTAAGTGATGTGTGTAAGAGTGTTGTGTAAGTGGATCCCAACTCTACATATATATATATATATATATATTCATGCATGTTGATCAAAAAAAGAAAAAAAGAAAGATTCATTATATCTTTTCCCACACATAAAAGGTCCAGGAATTCACTTTTCAAGCCTTAATTGCAGCCTTGAGCCTTGAGCTTGACTAAGAAATTTCAAAATATAAATAGTATATGTATATAAATTATTGCCAGTCAAAGATTTAAAAAAAGACATTAGATAAAGGTTGATATGGTAAAAGAGTCAATATATAGTAGCATTTTACAGATAAATTATAGCAGATGTACTCACTTCATATTCTTCAAAATCATGATCCTCAATTGTAACAATGCTTGGTTTGACAGCTGGTGGTGGGTGGAGCAAATCCTGAGCCTCTTCCCAAGTAAGTTTTAGCTCCAAAGCATCTAGGCTATCAAAATGTAGTCGCTTACTCTTGGATCCAATGTTTCGAGCTCTTTTCCTCTCAGGAGCCATCATTGATTGTGGCAACAAGCCCTCCCTTGTCCTATCCTCATGCTTCTCAGATTTCTGCCAGCTTGCATCACTTGCTGGATTCAAATGTTTGGATATTGCATTTAGGTGGGCATCGGTACTTCCCTTCAGTGACTGAAGAAGGCCAGAGTAACCACTTATTATGGGCAAGTTCTCAAAAACACCCGAAAAGAAACTTTCACTTGAAAGATTGCCATTAGAAATGGCAGATGGTTGAGTTTCCTGTTTATTTAATAATTTTATATCAATATTATATGATCACGCTTGCAAATATAAGAACTGAATTTCATTTTACCTGCAATGTTGTGACACAGTTAGTTGCTTTACGAAACCCCATAATGAGCTTTCCTTCCGGATCCATGCGGCTAAATGTTACTGCAAGAAAGGTAAAGAACTAAAGATAAACAGTAGAAGTGAATGATAAGTAATACCAAATAATATAATCCTCAACAAAAACTAGATTTTTCTGCAGTAGACTAACAGAAAATATGAATTTCATGACCAAGTTTTGATGGATACCAGTGTCTCCAGCTTGCAACTGCATAGACTGTATACAAGGAGTTACACCTTCTAAAACATACATCCTGCTGTTATTGTTAGGCCAAAATCTGAACTGAAACACCCATTCATTTCCATTTATATCTTGAATCTTTATAGGACGGCCCTCTGGTTGAGATATTGAAGGGAAATATGCCTGCAAGTTTAGTTCATTTTTCAAACTGATATGCAGCAATGATCTTCAACCACAAAATACATATTGCAAGGCTAATATGACTCACTTCAGCACATGCTTTTGGTAGAACCAAACGACCAATGCGACCAGCATCACTAGCACTTAGAACTTTTTCAAACAATGGAACAACAGTGCAATTTGAACTTAAAGATTAAATGGTTAAGGACATTGCCCCTCCAAAGTGATTAGATAGGCATAATAATCTAGGTATTTTACTAGTCAGTGCATGGTTTTTAAAAATAGTAGTTCTAGTACTTTAAAATAGTGACAAGAAATTAAAGGATACTCTCCAGAAATTTGTTGTAATTCTTGGTCTGTAATCCTTGGCCAATAACGAGGAAGCAACTGATTCCGCCCACGTCCTTCTGCAGGGGGCCTAGCAACACGTATCTGAGATACCATGCCTGTATTTACCTCCAAACCTGTTGCAAGGACAGCCTTTGGAGGCTTGGGGTGAAGATGACGATACTTAGGTGCTTGTTGCAAGATTGAAGACACCTTACCTTCAACAGAACCAGGAAAGCTATTTTGGTTTCCCAAAGGACTGCCCAAGGAAATACTCAAGTTTGTCTGTGCCATAGATTCATAGCCAGTTGCTTTAGAAAAATCAGGTTTTGCAGGATAAGCTGATCCATTAGACATTTGATTAAAATCAGGTGGCAACACTTTTTCCTGTTTCATGTGCCCTAAAGAAGTGCTTGGGTCAATGGTTTGAAACTGAAGCAAGTGTCTCAGCCCAATGCTTTCTGAATTGTTACTCAGCGGCATAAGCTTCATCTTTTCAAAGTTTCCACAACTCAAATGGTTGTCTACTGGTGTAGATTGCAATTCACCACCCACATTATCAGCCTTCAAGGTACCATACCCATTACATTTTTCATCTTCATTCATCTGTATGAACATGTTTCAAAAGCATTATAGCCTCAAATTTTAAAAGACCAAGTTCAAACATCTTATAGCTGTTATTTAAATCATGCAATTTTTTTTCTTTTTTTGATTAGCAAAAATAAAACTTATTTATTGTGACTACAAGGGGTACTCTAGCCTGAAAACTACCAAAATCACAACAACCAACCAACATATTTAATAACCACACATTTTCTCAAGAGAAACTCAAAACACAAACCCACAAAACAGTTAAAAGGAAACCCACCAGATACAAAATAGAGCTACTAACAAACATGCTCACATCAACTAATGGACATAAAGACTCAGGACATCAAAAGTTCATAACAAACAAACTTGATTTAAATCATCTAATTTGTGCACAAAAGGAACACATGGTCATGTACTGAATAGAAGGTACTCAAATACTTATATATTATTACAAGCAGTATTGTGTATTAGTAAAAATTTCATCTTACAGCACTAAGTCTTGACTTGTTTGCACAGCTTATGCAGTTTACACCTCCACTATCAAGATGCTCAAGCAGAAACCTGGAAGCAATACATCCACAATGTAGACGCTGCACAACATCAAAAACATTGAGATTATTTACCAAAATATCTGAATGAGATGTGAAAACAACAGGGTGAGTGACAGGTAGAAGATAAGAAATCAAGTAATCACTACTGTTAGATATTTCTCACCTTGCCACATACTGTACATTCTCTCCAACCAGAATCATTCGAGTGAAACACATCACAAAATATCGATTGTTCATATGCAGATCTGGAACAAACAAGACCAGAATTAGCATCACATACAATAAAATCATGGTAGGGTAAGACTGCATCCCAATTCCCATCATATTCATAAATTTTCATTGCAGCAAATCAAAAATACATCAACAGTAACATATTTCCAAACAACAAAGAGAATTTAATTATGAAATAGTGAAGCATATAAATTAGTAAGCAATTTGCAGTCAATTTAGCTTCTCATCAAGATGAAAAAAAACCTCTACCACTTAGGCTTCCCCTACTTTAGACACTTTCTATTATTCAAAATTTGAGAAATCTTGGCCAATTAAATGAAAAAGAGTAAATGAAAGTCATTTCTCAACACAATGATAATAACTTAACTGAATTTTCATTATTATCTAATTAACATTATTACAATCTTCCATAAAAGGAGAATTCAATATCCAAATTCAGAATAGAACAATTAATTTCACATCCCTTGATCATTTGCTTCCAATACCATAAAATTTTCTCTTCTGATTATCTGGTACCATAAAATTAAACACAGCAAAACCTTCAAGCTTGATCATGGCATCCATACGTATCATAAAACGAAGAAGAAATGACCATTACCCGCACTTATCGCAGAGATTAGCGAAATCTCCAGATCGTAGAGTCCATCCTCTTCTCCACTCAGTCGACGTTGACGACCCGCACAGTACATTCATGCAAATCTTGGACGCCATGCTACAAGCTCAATTCCTATAAATTTCACAGAACAAAAACCAAATCGAAACCAATGAACAATTCATCCAAACATCAAGTCAAAGACCGAAACAGAAAACGGAAAGAAAATGAGTCAACAATCAGACCAACGCGACAAACACGAAAATAGAACCGACAGAGAAATTCTCGCCTTCATTACCTATTCAATCAACAACTGAAGAAGTAGCTCAATCGACTCAGAGACCATTGAAGAGATGGAATGTCGATTTTGATTTCTGCATCTTCGGACTCGGAGTTCGAGCTTGTGGCGTCGGCAGTGAGAGGGAAATCAGCGGTAATCGAATCGAAGAGAAGAATAGGGCGCGGATCGAGGAAGCGTGAGCTTCAGGCGACCGGAGAGTTGAATCGGCGGCGGATATGGTGTTGGGAGCAAGGAAATCGTGTGCATGCAAAGCACGGAGGAAGAGAGGGGGTTTGGTAATTGGAAAAAACAATTGCATGCACGATGATACTTCAAGACACGGCGATCTCTCCCACTTACCTTCTTAATTTTTCTTTTCTTTTTCTTTTTTAATTAAAAAAATGCTTCTCTCATTTTTTTTACAACGGAGTACATGATTAAAATGACAATAATTAGCTGAAGATATAATTGGATACTTGAGTTCGAGTAAGGTATATTGGTGGTAAGAGGTAATATCTTTTTATTATTATTATTATTTTGTGAGATTTAGTTGCCTTGATTTTTTTAAATAATAATAATTTTGTTTATAGGATTTAAATTTAATGAGATAATAAATATTAATATTTTAATTTTACTTATTTAAAAAAAAAGAAATACATAAAATGTTTTATTTAATTATAAATAAAAATGAAATAAAAAGATACTAAATTGTAATTATTGTAATAAATAAATTTTTTAATAATCATAAATGAATAAAATAAGATAACTAAATTTAATTAGAAAAAATATGTAATGTCAAATAAAAAATACAATAATTATTTTTTGTTATAAAAGTAAATTATCATTTGTGAGATTTAAGTTGAATTTTTCTATAAAAAACAAAGCCAGTAATGTACTTGAGAAATGTAAAAATAATAATTTCCTTTTGAACGTGGGAACATTTTTTTGGGGGGAGATAGTACATTACAAGCACTGGGTGGGAGTTGAATTCGAAACCTAGTGGCCCCTAAGGTTTGCATCACGGGGCTGAACAAGAAGAGTAAGAAGAAAAATATTTTTTTGCCCAAAACAAGAAAAATATTAATTATCTAATATTTGCATCACAAGACCAATATTTTAAAATTTTTTAATTTTAATTTCACAACATTTTTAAAAATTATTATCAACTATCAAATATTCAGTATCTATTATAAGTTATAGGAAATGGGCAAACCAAATAAAGTCACGATTACTTCATAAAAAAATAATAATAATAAATAAAAATTTTAAAATAGTATCCCGCCAATAAAAAAAACGTCAAATTTTGTTCAAAATTAGGGTCTTCCACCAACTTGAAATGTTAGAAAAAGATGCAAAATTAAAACTTTTAGTATTGCTTAGCAATGAAAATTTTTATTACTATCCTTTTAGTATGTGAAATATTAATCACTTTTATTTTATTTTTTATTGTATAATTTAAAATAAAAACCTTTTTATTATAGTCTTATATCTCGGAAATATTAAACACTTTTGTTGTTATTGTCAACCGCTGCCTACTAAATTGACATAAAATATAATTGAATAAGAATTATGTGTTGTATTATTCTCAAAAGTGTATTTGTGAGAGAGAGAATAACATCTTCGTTGCAAACAAATGGGATATAGATTTTACTTATATTCCTCCGTCTGCTATTCTTCTCTCTTTGTCGTTATTTGTATAACGATATTAATAATGCATAATATTAACTAAATAGAGTATGTTTTCTTTATTAGGACACGTGGATTAGTTGAAACCATTATGAGGAAGGGTTAAAATGGACAATTAAGAATTTAAATCCTTATTGTACCGATGAAAAAATATTTTTATATTAATAATTTAGTTGATTACTTTACAAGTATTTTTTATTAAATAGAATAAGTTAGAGTTAATTTTATCAAATGAATTATATAATAAACAAATAAATATGGATCTTTTCCACATAAATTTTATTTATTACACTTATATAAAATTTTTATTTTTTATTTTTTATTTTTAATGATTAAAATTTATTATAATTTTTTAAATAAAAAAATAATTATCTTTAATAAATATAATAAAAAATAAATAAATTTCAAATATTAAAACTAAAAAGATTAATAATTAAAATTTTATATAAATGAAATATATAAAACTTATATAAGTGGATGCTAACTTTAAATAAATAATATATTTAATTGGTATTAAATTGCAATAGACTATTAAAAAGGAAATTTTAAATTGCAATAAGCACTTGGACTTGATTGTAACCTCTTTAAAATACAAGGCTCTTAGTTGCAACTTTGCTAAAAATGTAGTAGAAGGATAAGGAAGCGTAAAAAAATACAAAAAGTACTATAATTATGAGAATACACGCAATACTCGCTCGTGTGCCATATTCACGGTACTCGTTGAGTGCAAGCATTCGATCAGAATGGGACCCGGGCCGGCAATCTTAGATGCGCGAGTTGACTCACGCGTCAAAGATTGCAAATGCAAACGGCAAGAAACGTGTATTTAAAATACCGGTGTTCAGACAGCTCCGTAAAATGCGCCACTAGGAAGCTTTTTCAACAATTCCAATGGCATGCACATCCACGCATGCAATAAGGATCAGATCGCTCATTTACTTTATTACCCTCAAAAGGACATTTGAATTACGGGAATATTAAATGCTGGTTTACTAAGGAAGACCTGGTCAAAATACCTGCGAAAAGGTCCTTAGTTTCTAACCCTTCTTCTGGCATCGGTTTTAACGGGTTAAGGCCATCTATCGTCCCTCTACTATCAAAAATAGTGCATTCTAAACCTTCTACTATGGATTGGCTTCATGTCGTCCCTCTACTATTAATTAACTCCACTTGTCATCCCTCTACAATGCAGAAACACCCAAATGTCGTCCTTCTGTCCACTGTAACTAACGGTTCTGTTTATTAATAGTTAAATGCAACGATCACACCGGTTATCAATTTTTTTTTGCCACCCTTTCTTGTAGGCCCCACCCTTATCACATCATCTCTCCCACAAATTTTTTTGCCTTAGCCTAACTTCCTACTGCCTCCCCAACCCAACGTGGGTCCTGCATAAGGCAATTATGGAATTTACAATTGATAATTTTTAAATAATAAAATATGAAAATTTCATAATTCGAGAAGATAATAGATAAATAAAGATGATAACTTTTTTATTAATCTATTTAAAAATATAAATTTTTTAGATTTTTAAATTAAATGGTAAATTTCTTCTTTTTCTTAAAAAAATGATAATATAAAATTTTACAAATTTTCTTACTTTTTTTTAAAGATTTTTTAGAGAATGATGATAACATAACAAATGATAATTTTAATCAAAATAAGATAATATTTATGTATTTAAATTTAAAAAGTGAAAATTTACTATTATATACTTCAAGAATAAAGAAAATTTTAGATAATCTCGTGTAGTTTACTAGCATATTCAGTAGAGGTTAGTTTTTTTTTCTAAATTTAAAATTTCAAAAAATTTTAAAAAGGAAAATTTACTATTTAATTTAAAATTTCAAAAAATTTATATCTTTGAATAAAAAAATTGATAAAGTCATATTTTTATCGAAATCTTTTCTAATCAATTAAGAATTCACAAAAAACCAATATGTTGAAGATGTAAAAAATTTCATTCAATATCAAATAGAATACAAAAAGAGTGGAACTGTGGCAAAAAAATTTTATTTTGTTTGATCTTAAATGAAATTCTTTGCATCTTCAACACACTAGTTTTTCGTAAATTCACAATTGATTAGAAAATGTTTAGATAAAAAAGATGACTTTATCAATTTTTTATTCAAAAATATAAATTCTTTGAATTTTTAAATTAAATAGTAAATTTTCCCTTTTTAATTTTTTTGAAATTTTAAATTTAGAAAAAAAAAACCAACCTCTGTCAAATATGTCAATAAACTATATATCTCAGTGTCTCACTAAATTACTTAAAATTTCCTTGATTCTTAAAGCATATTATAGTAAATTTTCACTTTTTTAATTTAAATACATAAATATTATCCTATTTTGATTAAAATTATCATTTGTTACATTATCATCATTCTCTAAAAAATCTTTAAAAAAAAGTAAGAAAATTTGTAAAATTGAATATGCCAATAAATTATATATCTCAGTGTCTCACAAAATTACTTAAAATTTCCTTGATTCTTGAAGCATATTATAGTAAATTTTCACTTT